GAAAGTTTACTTTCCATAAAAGAACAGAAAGAACAAATTGAGACCAAAATACCCTAGGCTAGGGAGGCAATTAACAATCATCTTGACTTACTTCAGCAGACGTTAATTGAAGTACTGAATTTAACCATTGATAAGGAACATAAAAATATTCACCAATTCCTGATATCAGTTGAGAAGAATGAAAAAAATATTAAAGAATTTCAATCCAACCATTTGAAAATAAAGCAGCACGCTTCTGAACTGCAGACGTTTCTTACTTTGAAACAAATGGAACGTGACATAGCTACAAAGGACGAATGTATACAATCAATTAACAAGAGCGGAAATCTGAGCCGTCATTATTTTTCATTGAAGATCGACACAACTTTAGAGAAATTGGCGAGCAATGTTAAAATATTTGGAGAAATTATTAAAGAGACAAAACCAAGTGATATTCCCTTTGAAAGGCAGAAGGATAAACAAGCATTGTTGAATATATCTGTACTCCCCAAGTACATAGATAACTTGAAACTAACGTTGGTTCAGTCTATTACTACGTTTAGTGGAGACGTTAGAGATTGTACAATGCTTCCTGGGGGTAGAATGGTGTTTACTTGTTACCATCCTAGTCATCTTACAGTAGTCAATCAAGATGGATCGAAAGGCTTTAGAATTGATTTAGGGTGTTCTTTTGATGTTATTTATATAAGCGATAATAACATAGCTGTAACCTCTGGTTATTCCACATCAAATATTAAAATAACAGATACAAAATGGAAGAAAGTCACGAAAAGATTGAATGTTGGCTCCAGTAATGATGGCATTGCACTTAAAGATAACGACTTGATATATTGTGGAAGAGAGGCCGGATTGAAGAAAATCAATTTGAGTGACGATTCCGTTAGAAAAATCGTCCAATCAAGATTAGTCGATTTCTCTTATGTAACAACATGCAATGACAACATTATCTATACAGAAAATAATACGAACACAGTTACATGCACGAATATGCAAGGACAAGTAAATTGGAAATTCAAGGATGAAAGCATTCTGGTGCATCCACTTGGTATATCTGTAGACAAAGCTGGTAATATGTATGTAATAGGACGTGATACTTGCAATCTGATAGTTATCTCCCCTGATGGGCAACAGCATAGACAAATATTATCGGCAAAGGACGGTCTTAGAAACCCCTCTGTTTTGCACTTTGATCTGGTAACAATCAAGTTATTAGTAGCAAAAGTGAGGGAAAAGGCATTTTTGTATGATGTTTCATCATAAAATAAAAACATTTATTCGACCTTGTGACACCAATGTTCAACAAGAGTATGTTTAGAAGTATAAATAACCGATTTATATGACTAAAAGGACATTTCGATGAAACTGCAATAAGACATCAAATAAAGTTATCACACATTAAAATGCAGTCCTTTTTGTTAAGTTACCACAATATTGATATACGAAAAACTATTTAGCAAATTTCTTTAGTTTTCTACAAGTTTTATCGTAAATGGTTAAATTCACAAGAGTTTACATACTTCTTGTTCCGAATATTAACGCACATGGATATGTTTGGCTATAAAACTTGGTTCTAAGCAAACTGTATCCAGGAATGTGAAAAAAGTATTTTTCTGTATACAGAACAGATTTTGGACTTGTACGGGGTAGTTTGACCTACATATTCCCCAAAAAATATGTAAAACTGACTGTCTTTATTTATTTGTATCATCTCACAAGTGATTCGGCTTGATCCCACCCCTCGTTATTATTTTCATTTTTTTTATAGACGTCCTCAATAGTATTGTTCTTGTTACAGCTTATTTTCATCACAGTACGTGTCTTTATCGTATATCAACATAATCTGCCGTTTGAAGCAGTTAATTTGTGCTGTCATTTAGAAAATGATAACCTGTATAAGAATAAGGAGATGTGGTATGATTGCCAATGAGACAACTATCCACCAAAGTTCTTTATTTTATGGTACTTTTTTTCAACTTTGCAGTGATACCGTTTGACCTGTTTATTAACAAATAAATTGTATGCTTAATTGTGGATTCGAGCTTCTAAAGCATACTGTATTCTGGAATGAAATAAAAAGAATAATCAGTTCAACTCGATATATGAAGTTAATATGCGTTTGTAGGTGTGAGGTATACCTTGACAAGACAGCAACACAATTAAAAAAATACATCTAGAGATCAACATTCATTTTTGAATAGTGGACAGATGTCCAATATGGATACTCGATTACGACGTCTAATTCAATAACATTGCGCTCAAATAGAAAATTTTCATGATGCAACCTGTGAAAAAAATATCAGAATGTCACCTGTTGCAATATTTGATTTATTTCAAAGGGCAATGAATTTCGAAACTGTTGCCAAAATATGGTATTAAAAGCAGTACGAGTCATACAACTATTCTAGCTGAAATTACCAGTCATTACAGTGTGTCTGGTGTGGATAAAAATGTTAACTCATTTGCATCGAATTATTTCTGAGGGTAGAAGTCGTAGAAATTATAATATACCATCGATCGAATATAGATCGAATATAGATTTTTTAAAATAAGAAATGCAATATTGTAACTTGTGGAGTAGATAGTGATGTAAATAAAACATCCAAATAATTGTTCCTTGTAGATAGAAAGTTTTATCCGATCAGAAATAATAAATCAAAAACAAAGATCTCGGTTTATATTTGCATAGTTTCCTCATAATGAAAATAAGCAGGTTTGTTGGTGTTTGTGTTGTATTTAGATTAAAAATAAGTTACAATATACCAAGAAGACAAAAACACCCAATTCAAAGAAACAAAAAACAAAAGAAAACAATCATTAGACAACAAAAAACTGCACAGAGGAATAGAAAAAGGGGTTGATACGAGTCCCGCAAATACTGTTGATAAACTCACGTGCATCGGAAGGGTTAATAGTTTATGTTTCACTAAACAGCCATCATGTTACTCCTGTCACAATCCGTTAAAATGGCAAAATTGATGATACGGCATCATACAGTTACGGACCAGAAAATGTATAGTGCTTTAACATACAGGACATTACTATCAACTTCTTAAACAATCGATATATGTAAATGATCTAACTCTTATAAATAACATAAACATTGTGTTCATGCATATATGACCAAAAATGTCTGCAAGAAGGTAAATGACAGGAAATAAACACTAGAAATATGCAGAACAGAAATAAAACATTGAAAAGAAATAACGACTATACCATGTAATATGAAGAGTCCCACAGATGATGCATAACATGTTATTCTATTGTATTTTATTTCAAATAAGATCAAACTGACCAGACAACAGTTTTGTGTTTTGATGGCACAGTCCAATTTCAGTTTCCATGTTATTGATTATATCTTATTTGATTAAAAGAAAAAATGAAGAATTAAGTTCACATCCCAGGATAAACTAATTTGTAGCATGGATATTCATCTTTTTAAACCTATCCTTTTGTCAGCCTGTGTTAGATGAAACTTGAAAAGTTACGATCATTGGCTTGTTAAATAAAACATACAATACACATACACGTTAAAGTGACAAACAGTAGATAAGATATGTATACAAATTATCGTATTATTTTTTAAATTCTTCCTCAGACTGTTCTGGAAATGCCCTTTTGGTTGAAATTCTCTCAAATGTTTTATTTGTCTTTTCTCAACAGTATAGGAAGATATTCTTGAGAGAGAAAAAAACTCCTGTAGGCGGAGGACTTGTACGGATGACGGTTAGTGTACTTTTGTTTGCACCGGATGCGCATTTTAAAATTTTATGTCTCTTCAATGATGCTCAAGGACCAATATTTGAAAATCCAAAACCTAATAAAACATTAGGCGAGCTGATCAAAACAAATAGGTCATAAAGTATAGCCAAATCGTGGACATGAAATTAGAGCTTTGCATGAGGGAGATATCCGTTTTTGGTCGGTTTCTTTTGTTATACTTTTGATCAATCTATTAAAATAAATGCTTTAGTTGCATCTAAGTTCACCCTCAATAAATTCATCAAATGTCTTGTATCCACGGTATTTAACAGCTATAATTTCCTTCTTTTTGCTGTTAAACATCTAAAAGATTTAGGGGTAAGTATGCGTATAGAAAATGTTCACAACTCTAACAGTAAATTTGAAAATACTAATATCATTTGATATCAACTCATGGCAAGTTGCCATTTTACCGCACGCTATTGATACTAAAGTATGCTATTGTTTTCTAAAACTTGTATTTACTATTGAATTTTCAATTCTTATTATAATTTAAGTTACTTAAATTGTTACACACTTTTAACGTTTTAACGTATCTGCCCTATTTTCTATATATGTAGCAAGAAAATGGGAAATCATCGTGCTATTCTTGCATGCTTGTTTTTTGTAAGCATCCAACAATCAATCAACAAATTATGATTTTTTTTTAAATAATACAAATGAATCGGAAAAGTTAACATCAATCTCGCACTATTATGGAATCACAAAAGAAGTTGTGCACAGTTAAGATAATTTATTATATTTGACTCATACCAATATAATCTAATAAGAATAAGACGTATGGATTTACTAGCGGTACGGGAACTGCTGATCCTTCCAAATCGACTGAAATCAAGCCCATTTTTTTTGGTGGAGGTCATGCTGATTCATTTTTAGCTTGGTCAATTTTTGTCTGCTTTACTTCGCATAATTCTTGATGTTTCATTTCCCCATCCAACATACACTCCTCCCAGCTGGTATCGCCTCCTGTTTATAGTTCTTTGGTACAAATATTGTTTCGATATTATAACATTATTACAGAACAAGGCTTTAATCCAAAGTCGACTCTAAAATTTGACAACGCGTGTTCATTTAAGTGTTTTTAAAAAGCCGGATATTTTATTAGATTAACTGTGTAGTTTATACTAAAAAAAAGTCTCATACAGACGCAAATACTGTTCAGGATTTTGTGATTTGCCATTATAGACATTCAAAAATTGCCGCCATTCATAGATTAATAAATATCATTTTTATTTGAACCAATATTGTATGCTGGGATAATCACACCCTTTCCGATTAGCAAATTACTATTATATCAGGGTATGTATGAATTCCTTAGGTAAAAATTGAAAAATGAAAGTTATTTTGGCACGGTGTGAAAGAAATGAACAATGACAAACTTAAGGCAATCCGTTATAGCTCATAAAGTTATATGTGTACTATTGTCATATTTATCTATATTGTGTTCTACTTTCGTTTTCAACTGGTTAAATACAATGACGTTTACAGACAATAATGAAAGTACTGACGGGGTGTTTTCTAGGATGACCCTACCATGACCCTACCATTTGAACTAATTTTGCATTGAGGGACAGTCACGTCCTTTCGTTTACTGTTATTTCAAGTTAAATATATTTTTTTAAGGTAACATTTTATCAATTCAGAATTTTTGGCAGCATGGAAGTAGTTATTAATGACAATCTTAAAACAAATCGTAACAGCCCATTTAATTATATTTGTATTATTATTCAGGTTTATTTATATTTCTTGTGTCCTACTTTCGTTTTCGTGATCATATACAACAATGATGTTTACAAGTGATATATTTTGTAATCAATGTACTGACGTACTGTTTACTTGGATTAGCCAAAAAAAAAAAAGGGATGGCAGTCGAATTAAGGACGAGATTTCAATTTCGCCGTGGATCTGGTTTCTTATGATTAGTTTCATAGTCGGGGCGATAACAATCAATATGGTAGGTATTCACCGCACAATTCATCTCATTAAAAATATCTAACATTTACACATTTCAAACTGCCATATGGATCAGCTCTGTGTACATGCTTATAAAAATAGCCAGTCATGAGAGTAAAATGCCTCTTTCCCAGTTCGGATTAAACATAAAATATTGAATTCTGTATGTTCTTACGATGGCCATTTGAGTCTTGGGGATAGTTTACAGCATCAGTCAAGATTACAATTGAGAATGGAAACGGGGAATGTGTCAAAGAGACGACACCTGACCAAAGAGCAGAAAATATCCCAAGGACACCAAAGGGTTTTCAAGACAGCGAGAAACATCTCGCCCCCGGAGGCAGACTGCAGCTGGCCCCTATAAAACAAAAATGTGTACTAGTTCAGCGAAAATGGACGTCACATTAAACTCCGAAACCTATACATCTAGCCAATGTAGAATAAACAAACACACAGCAATACGCATAGTAAAACTCAGTTTAAGAGAAGTCCGAGTCCGATGTTAGAACTCATAAAAAATATCTAACATTCACACATTTCACACTGTACATGTCATATAGACCAGCTCTGTCTGTGTACATAGATATAAGAAGATGTGGTATGAGTGCCAATGAGACAACTCTCCATCCAAGTCAAAATTTATAAAAGTAAACCAATATAGGTCAAATACGGTCTTCAACACGGAGCCTTGGCTCACACCGAACAGCAAGCTATAAAGGGCCCCAAAAATTACTAGTGTAAAACCATTCAAACGGAAAAACCAACGGTCTAATCTATATAAAAAACGAGAAACACTTATGAACCACATCAACAAACGACAACTACTGAACATCAGATTGCTTATTAAAATAGGCAGTATGTGTACATACTATTTAAATATTATAGTGTTTACTCATGACGGGAAAATACCTCTTCCTAGTTTGGTTTAATTATAAAATATTGTGTGTTTTTTAAGTCTCGCGGAAAATTTACAGCATCAGTGAAGAGACATGTTTTCTTAAATGCGCAGCAGATGCAGTATAATTGGAACAGTTTAATGTAATCATCACCACTGGGTCGATATATTTGCTGGAGTAGCGTAGTACTTTAGCACTGAATTAAAAATTCGGATGTTGCTTTACTAACAAAATTAGCAGTCATAAAACGTTGAAATCATTTGAAATTAAGGAATGTGTCTGTATCATGCATAGTTTTGATCCCTTGTCTTAGTTTTACTATTTCATTTAAATATATATTTATTCTTTATCTATTTTTGTTTTGTTTTTTGTTTTTTTTTTTTTTTATTATCTCTCCAACGTTGTAATGGGTCTTATATTTACATTTACAAATATGTTTCCTTCGATCCCGAGCATCACTGAAGATACATCATATGTCGAGGCTTGCATCTGTTGCAGTAAATTTGCTCCGTTTAATATTATTTACATAATTCAAAAATGAAAATATATTTTGTTTTCTTAATCGAGGTTACTAAGACTGCTACGGAAATTTTATATATCTAAAAATGTGTTTGTTTTGAATCAGTTTATATTTTAACTATATTATCTATACTTTAACAATTTATGTAAATTGACTACAATTTAACCTCCCTAAGCAAAGCAAGGCTTTTATACTTCTCATGATCAAAGACATCTACTTGCATTCATAGCTTTATTGCAGTTCACTGAAGGTTTCTAGATTCATAAAAAAATGAAAAATCTATTGAGCATTTCTTGAAGTTGGCTTTTTTATCGAAAAATAGTTTTTTTTTTTTTGGTTTCCAATAGGTGATGACCTGTCATTTTTCCAAATTCAATCTTATGCTCTTAAAAATATTATTCCTGCTAGAATTTTACATTTTATAACCTTCTTATTATCAAAGTTCTTTTACGATTTCACATATAATATAGTAAACCATTGACTTTGTCGTTTATGTGAAAAAAGGATACTTTTCTATATTCAAATTATCTAACCAATCTTAAATCGAAATGATACAATGACTAATTCCTTAGAACCTTTGTTGCATACATTTTTTATTCGATATATAGGGTTTCACAGTGAATTGGGAGCTTTGAATATTTTACATAGTGACTGTATATAGCCCTTATTCCTAACTGCTCTTTAGTTAAAAGACGTACGTAAAAAAGACACAAATGATCAATTCATTATCATCCTCATTCTGATACAAATAAAACGGATATTTCATTAATGATTGTAGATCTTTAAAACCCCCTTTGTGTAGAATTCCGAAATTGTTTACGTTTGTCGTTATCTAGTTCTAACTTCCTATAATCTATACCTTTTTTTTTTTAAATCTGCGCTGTTGACATGTTGCTCTCCATGCAATTAAAATAAATATTCCTGTCTTAACAAACCATTTTTCTTACAAAAGGATAAAACAGTATTACAAAAATATCGAACCCCAAGGTAAATTAAAAAAGAGGATCACGGCGATGTACATACTGTGAAAATCATTCGAAAAGACATAGATAAAATCATTTTGATCTTTAGATTTCCAATTGCCTATGACATGCATACGGTTAAGCGTTGACATTTCAAAGCAGAGATCCGAAATGTATATGTCGTTATTCAATTGTATAGATATGGCAGTATCAAGTTTAACTGTTTAAACCAATACTTTTATGCACTGACTATTCATCGTCTTGTTTTTATAAATATATCGCCTGATCCTAAATATCTGGAAACTACAGTTGTTTCAAAAAGAAGTAATGAAATAGCTTGTTTCTGTTTAAGTAAGCAACAAAATTAAAACAGCATACACGATTTCCTATCTCACATCTTATTGAACATAACAGGTTGTTTATTTAAGTTCAATACATTGTGTGTCCCAAACAAAAGCCCATGCCCCTTCATAAGACATGTATAGTCGGGTACTTAAGTTAATTTAAAAATTAAACTATGGAGAAAGATTGATTACGTATACCATACTTTAGTATCTTAAGTATAGCCATCCTTCAAGATGTTTATTTAAAAAAAAAAAACCCGCATACTTTGAATATAAATATAGAATAATTAACATGACCAATTGACTTTTTATCATATTTATGGCTTTTAGGAGTAAAAGAAGTAATATTTTTCGAATAACTCCCCTCCTACACAAAAATAAATCCTCATTCGGGATGATAACAAACTACAGTTTACATACAACCTTTTGGGTACAGAACTAGCATTACCTGATAGAATCAGGAAGACGGAGAAGCGACAAACAAAAAAGGTCACCTCTTTTGATCTTACTTATCGTATTGCAATTGTCAATATAAATCGTTCATTGAAAGTGGAAATATTAAACGTTTTCATGTATTGCTAAAAATATATAAATATATCAGAGCATGTAGGAAGAAGCAAATGGACTGTACGATTCTTCACATTTAATATAAGTATACTAAATATAAAATAAGTTGTATCTGTAGGATAACACGGATAAGGTTGAATAGAATTGAAGTAAAAGCTTCCAGTAACAACAGTTGACATATCTGACGATCCGGTAGGTTTATACACAATATAAAGTTTAAGTATGTTATGTATCGCCGCGAAAACATGTTTATTTTTTTGATAAAAGATGTGCCGTATACGTCACTTAGACGGCAACTCAGCGAAACGAATAATCAAAATACAACGTAATCGAATAAATATATTACTTATTATAGTAACATGTGCATTACTGCATATCAAATCAGAATTTTTTTCAATACAGGTAAAACATTTCAGCATCCGGCACGTTGGACCTAATTGTCACTGCGTTTGAAAACCAGAAAATAAAATTCAAAATATTAAGCAGTAAATTAGTACAATCATGAATTGTTATAAAGGAATTTGTCTTCTTCTATAGGTCTTTCTCAATAGACAGATGTATATACAATATGCAAACTCATCCAGAGTGCAATAAAGTTGTTTATGCACTAAACAGAAGGTATCCGAGATATGCCATCAACTCGAAATTCTGTAGATAAAAACAATAAGGTAAGGAAGCGGTATATATTAAACAACAAAACACAATTACACACAAACATTAATACGCAATATTATACTGTTTCAAAGAATTGTACAGTTACTGAAATTATTCAACTTGCTGATGCGAAGGCAAAATATGTTGTGCTTTATAAAGAAAAAAGTCATAAATAGTACAGGAAGACATGAAATTAATCCTGTCAGGTCAGCTAAGATTAACTATCTCCATCTGTTTAAAGATATTGAAAAAAAGTTTTAAAAAATTTGCATCTGAAAAAAGATTGGCAGTTCTGTAGTTTACAAGATCGTACTGGTTTAAAACATGTTTGGTGTGCTGTATTGTATTTTCAGTCACAATCATTCACTAAACTTATTGAATGAAGTCGGTAATAACAAAATATTGAACTTGTACGTGTTTTATTGTGCAATGTTTATTTTGTTTAATAATCTTAACGTATAATAATCTTTGCTCTGTTAAAACATGTTATTTGTAAAAAAAATAAAGTGTGTTGAATGGAGTCGAGATTCAATATCTGGGACTGTTGATGTAATGATCTAGTGCTGTAAATATAATCTCAACATGGTTGATTGCAGAGCAGTATAGTAGTGACGATTATTTGAGATATCAATTCCTTACAGAGATGGGTTATTTGGTTGACCTGTAATTGAAAACAGTTGTAACAGATTCAAGTATATTAAATTGTATTGGATTTACTTTTAGGACAATGGCAAGTAATTGGTCATTCTGTGGTATCTGTGATTTTCGACATGTCACCAAACCATCAGTGGTTTGGTGTTCCGAATGCGATGAAGGTCTTTGTGACGACTGCAAAGAACACCACAGCATTTCCAAATCCACACGTGTCCATGACACCGTGCCTATAGATGATTACCAAAACTTACCAACCGAAGTTCTTAAAGTTGCACAGTCTTGCAGAAAACATAACCAAAAGTACCAAATATTCTGTAAAAAACATGACTGTCCATGTTGTAAGAAATGTGTTGTCGAAGTACACAATGAATGTAAAGATTTTGATGATATTGATGACGTCATCAAAAACGTCAAATCATCCGACGCTTTCCACGACATCGAGCTTAATCTTTCCAATATAGTTGATTATATGCAACGAGTCAAGAAAAATCGAGAAGAAAAATTTTCTTTCAATAAAAGAACATAAATGACAAATTGAAAACGAAATTCAACAGGCTAGAGAAGCAATTTACAGTCATCTAGAATTACTTCAGAAGAAGTTAATAAAAGAACTAAACTTAACCATTGATAAGGAAAATGAAAATATTCACAAATTCCTGAAATCGGTTGAGCAAAATGAGAAAGAAATCAAAGAGTTTCAATCCAGCCACCTAAAAATAAAGAAGCACGCTTCTGAACTGCAAACGTTTCTTACTATGAAACAAATCGAGCGTGATGTAGCTACAAAAGAAGACTTTATACAATCAATAAACAAAAGCTGTAGTCTGAGCCATACTCGTTTCTTTTGTAAGATAGACACATATTTGAAGAATTTGGTGAACAATGTTAATAGATTTGGAGAAGTTGTTACAGAGACGAAACCAAATGATATTCCATTTGTAAGGCAGATGGATAAACAAGCCCAGTTGATGATTCCTATACTCCCAAAGGCAAATTCCATAGATAATTTAAGATTAACGTTGGTTCAGTCAGTTAATACGTATAGTGAAGATATTAGAGGTTGTACAATACTTCCTGAGGGTAGAATGGTGTTCAGCTGTTACTATCCGGGTTATGTTACAGTAGTCAATCAAGATGGATCGAAAGACTTTAGAATTGATTCAGGACATTCTTTTGATGTCATTAATATAAAAGATAATAATGTAGCTGTAACCTCTGTTTTCTTCGTACCACATATTAAAATAACAGATATAAAATTAAAGAAAGTCACGAAAACAATGCATGTTGGCTCCAGTAATGATGGCCTGGCACTAAAGGATAAAAACTTGATATATTGTGGCAGAGGGAAAGGGTTAAAGAAAATCAATTTGAGTGATAATTCCGTTAGTCCAATTACAAATTCAAAACTAAGTGATAGTTCGTATGTAACAACATTCATTGACAGTATAATATTCACAGACCCAGGCACGAACATAGTCACATGCGCTAGTATGCAAGGACAAGTAAATTGGAAATTCAAGGATGAAAGCTTGCTGAAGTGTCCACTTGGTATATCTGTAGACAATGCTGGTAATGTGTATGTGATTGGACGTGATTCTTGCAATGTGATAGTTATCTCCCCTGACGGGCAACGACATAGACAAATATTATCGGGAAAGGAAGGTCTTAAAATTCCCTCTGTTTTGCACTATGATCTGGTTACAAACAAGTTATTAGTATCAAACTTGAGGGGAAATGCATTTTTGTATGATGTTTCACAATAAACTAAAAACAAAACTGAAATTTGGGTGCCCTTGTGATCTTATTATTTTGGGGATGAGAATGAAAAAAATGATGTATTTGTATTTGTAATTTTTATTATAATCAACTACTAGTATTCAAGGCATCATGTGTTCATATATTCGAAAAACAGTTTTTTAGTTATACAAAACAATTACTGGTCATAAAATATGCACATCTTTAATGTATGTGTAACGTTGTATTGCTTACAGTCTTCATACACTTTAGATCTATTTCTCTTACGTAGCAAAGCGGGATGTATATAAATGTCTTCAAACCCTTTAAGAGTTGACACTTTAAATTCAAGATTTTGTATGAGAATCCAGTTCATTGCACATTAATCAGACCTTGTGACACACAATGTTTTACAAAAGTTTGTTTAGGAGTATAAATTATATGAGCAATAAGGCATATCGGTTGTATTGCAATAAGAAAGTTATGTAACCAATTAAATAGACCTCAGGTGAGTTCTAATCAACATGCCGAGCACAAAACTGAGTCTATATGGCATCAAATAAATTTAACAGATCTCAAAATGCAGTCCTCTTTGTTTAGTTGCCAAAATATTTACATACTAGTATGAAAATTATTTTGCAAATTTAGTTTTCTAGAAATCCTCACCGTATTTGGTTTAATTCACAACAGTTAACTTACTTATCTATACTACTAAAGGAAGAGACCGATTTCATTGAGCCGCAACTCCTCTGAAACCATACAAAGTCGGAAATATTTGTGATATGACGTATAAATGTAGTGTTTTGTACTTCCTAAATTTGTCTTTGAAACAATCTTTTTTCCACAGAAAACGCCAATTTTGGAGAAAATATCCAAATTTGGAGACCGTTATCGATCCGTGTCTTATACGCTTTCGCGCATGCTTAGTTGACGTACTGCCCGCGAAATCCAAAAAGGATAGAAAAAAGGACAGTTAGGCCTATAAGGATTCTGTATTGTATTGTAAGTGTATCATTATACGACATCCACCCTTTTTACTCAGGTGCAGAACTGTCCAAAAATGAAATGGGCGTTGAACGTGTCGAAGTGATCCTCCCCCTTTTTATGAGTAAACACAGTCACCCTTGACACTCTTTGTTTCAACACTTGCCCAATTGTACCGCAATTTCGCGGGCATCTTCTTGCTTTTCAAATATTAATGCACTGGAACATTTTTTGGTGGAAAATTTTAACTCGGAATATAAAAAATAAGTATTTAAAAAAAAAGGTTTTGAACTTGAACATGGTATTTTGACCAACATATTCCCCATAAAAGTTTATACACAAAACTGACAGTCTTTATTCATTTGTAGTATCCACAGGTGTTTCGGCATGGATTCCAACCCTCGTTATCATTTTCTTTTTTTAGACGTCCTCAATGGTATTGTTCTTATTACAGCTTATTTTCATCACAGTGCGTGTCTTTATCGTATACCAACATAATCTACCGTTTGAAGCAGATAATTAGTGCTGTCATTTGGAAATAAGAACTTTGTACTTATTTGCGACTTGCCAGCAATACGTTTTGACTTGTTCATTTACAAATAAAATGAAATCTTAATTATGGCTTCGAGTTTCTTATCATACTGTATTCTTGAATGAAAATTAAAGGAATACTAGTTCAACTCGATACATGAAGTTCATATGCGTTTGTAATAATATTTCATATGAAATAGATTCTTGTACAAAAATGGAATAAAAGGAGGCATGGGGTATAAGTTAATGAGACAGCAGCACAGCAAAACAAATAAGCAAATGATATCTAGAGATCAACATTCAGTTTTGAACAGTGGACAGATGTCTACGGGTAAATAAATGCAATGTATGAATATTCGATTACGAATTTAATTTAATAGCATTGCTCTCGAATAGAAATGTTCATGATATAACTATAACAAAATTCGGGATGTCGCCTGTTGCAATATTTGATATATTTTAAAGGGCAATGACTCTGAAATTATTGCCGAATAAATGGTACTAAAAACAGTACGAGTCAAAGAACATTTCTAGCTGACATTACCAGTCATTAAATTGTGTCTGTTGTGGATACAAATGTTAGCTAATTTGGATTGATTGATTGATTGATTGATTGTTCTTTAACGCCTCTTTCAGCACTATTGTGCTATTTCAAGGTATTTTATAGGTGGAGGTAGTCTTAGTGAGCGGAGAGAACCACCGACCTTCAGAAGGAAAACTGACAATCCAAATCAATTGAGATTGGAGTCCTGCGAACCTGCGTGATTCAAACCTTCAACCTCAGTGTTCCTCGAGGCCCCATTTGAATTGATCTTTTTTCTGAGATACATGTCGTAGATAAGATACTATAATATAATCATACATCAATCGAAACATATAGATTTTTGAACCAATTGATTAAAAAGGGTATAAAACATTCCCTATACGAAAAATGTTGATATCCTGTTTCGAAAGTTGTTCCGTTGCGTAAATGTACTACAGTGAAAATATTTCCTAATAAGGACCATAAATTAAAAAAATCTGTGCTTCTAAATTGTAACTTGTGAATTAGATCATGATGTAAATGATACATCTAAGAAATTGATCCTTCTAGATAAAAAGATTTTCACGACCAAAAATAATAAATCAAAAACCAAAATAATCTCGGTTTAAATATTTGCATAGTTTCCTCATACAAAAATAAGCAGGTATGTTTGTGTTTTATTATATTTAGAATGAAAATAAGTTACACTATACCAAGAAGACTAAGAAACACACAATTCAAAGAAACAAAAAAATAAAAACATAAGACAACGAAGAACTGCACAAGGAAATAAAGAGGGGTTGATATGAGTCCCACAAATACTGGTGATGAACTCGGGTGCATCGGAATGGTCAATATTTCCATTTTCTCTAAACAGCAATCACGTAACTCCTGTCACAATCCGATGATATAGCAAAACAGAGTTAGACATCATGCAGTAATGAATCGGCAAATGTATTTTGCTTAAATCTACAGGATATTACTGTCAACTTCTTAAACAATCGGTACGTGTCAATAGTATAATTCTTAAAAATAAAATAAACATGGTGTTTATACATTTTATGAACAAAAATGTCTGCAAGAAGGTAAAAAGAAAAAACTTAGCTTATTCGTTATAACTACTCAGTTACTCGTTATAACGATATAGCTAACTCGTTATCAAGATTTATCTAACTCATCATCATGACTTCGCTAACTCGTTATAACGACTAAGTTTACTCAAGATTAATTACCTAAATCGTTATAATGAGTTATTTAAGTCTTGATATTTGTTTAGTTTAGTCGTAATAACGAGCTATCTTAGTCCATGTAGTTGAACATTATTATTAAGTCGTTATAACGTTTACTAATCGTTATAACAAGTAACTAATCGTTATATTGAGTTATTTAATTGTGATAGCAAGTTAGCTTAGTCGTGATAAAAAAATGTATACATACTTTTTAAGACATTCATTTATGTTCTGCCAAACACAGACATATATTTTTTTGTCGAAGAGGTTTTATATGATTCAAACATCCTAAATATGACTTTTCCTGTAAATCAAATCATAAGCGTATAAAAGTTTGACAAAAAACTTTCAATTATTCCGGATCTGGTCCTTTTGTAAGTTATACTTTTATCGATTTATTAAAATAAAATGTTAAAATTGCATCTACGTTCAACCTCAGATAATTGTGTATATGTATGTTATCGACAGTATTTAAAAGCTGTTCTGAACATGCATGAACTGTTTGCCACTAAATGATAAATTATCATTGAATTAATGAAATGAACATAAAAAAAATAAATAATACGACATTTTTTTAACCAGTAACATATAAGCAGGACCAATAATTCTGACGATAATATCTCGCTGGGGGAGCACAAAAATGAAAATGCTTTTTATTCGCCTGACCGACTATTGTTATCTATGAAACGCCTAAAAATTATCTTCGGAGTGTAATGTATATCAAAGGTTGAAACAGACAATATTTTGAGATAGTTTGATAATAAGCACATATCAGTTATGTTTGTAGAAACAATACCCAATAGAAATTTCATTACATGTAATATAGAAATCAGTATCGTTAGCTTTCTCTTAGTAACTAGGAGTTTGAAAATCAGTACTGATCACCTTAAATAAAGGTAATGATATCTTAAGATTCGAAAATTTAAGTCTTTTCATGCCTTCATTTCTAATAGGATATTTATGAATTTTCGTTAAATGTTTACATCGACAATATCTTAGAAGATATTAAAAATCAGTTCCGATTATTTTTTCGCGGAATTTCTACGACGAGTTCTGGAGGTTTTTTTTAAATGAGTATATCTTCATCGAAATGTTATAAAAAATTTTTGGTGATCCTTTTTCCCTTTCTGTGACCATGGTGACAGTATGTATGTGTATAATTTCTAAATTTGCATTTCCCATGGTCGAGTGATAAGATAATGTGATGTTTTTCTCAAATTGAATGATTTTGTTTTTGTCTTAGATAATAAATTGGTGTTTGCTTAAAAATGTTCAGGTTAAGGTAGCAAAAAATGAAAGTAACAGTACTTTTCACTTGGTGCCAACTTTGTCAAAAGGAGCAAAACGCAATAAGTTTGATACAAAGTTATAATACTCAAGTCCGGTAATTTCAACACCCAGCATCGTGGTATATTTTTGATAGGACGTATATTATATAGATAAGTAAATGTTACATATTGCGGTATAATTGCCTATGACCTTATTATCCATCAATACGAATGATATATCCATATTTCTGGTGTTATGAAAATCATTTCATAACATAATAAAAATTGCATTGATCGGTATATTATTTTGTATCATTCTATAAAGTTCCGGACATTATCTCAGGAAGCTGTGGTTGATCAATGTTTTAATGGTACAAACGTATTAAAAACGATACCGAACTCCAAGGTAAATTCAAAAAGGGAAAGTCCATAAAAACTGACAAAATCAAACGTTATCAACCAACGGAACTATTAAGAAGATATGAGTATGCGTAAAAAATGTTTGTTCATCTCTAAAGGTAATCAGAAAATAAAAATACAATAATCCTTTGATATCAACTAACGGTTTGTTGCCGTTCTACACCATGCTTTTCATACTGAATGGATGGATGGAGAGTTGTCTTATTGGCACTCATACCACATCTTCTTATATCTATTAAGAAAAATAGTTATTGTCTGCAACATTTATTGGTAATTGAATTTTCATTTGTTTTCTTATTTTACTTACTTTTAATGTTACACACTTAAACACATGTTAAATAAAAACGTATATGCTTTATTTCCTGTATGTGAACCAAGAAAATGTGAAATCAGATCTTACTGAATATAGATGATTTTATTTTAATTGGATGTAAAGCAACCAACAATCAATCAATCAATCAATCATGATTTTTTAAATATACTGCAATTGAATCGGAAACGTTTACAAAAATCTATTAATGAAATTATGCAGTTATCATTATATTTGACGCCTCTCAACATAGTTTAATACTAATTACAGTTTTGAATTTTCTTTAGGGACAGCAACTGCTGGCCTTCCGGAGCAC